TCTTTGAGCTCTGAAAACCATTGCTGTAGATATTGGTCATAAATAGTTCTTATTACTGTTTGAATTTGTAAGTTAGTGATTTCTGTGTTATCCATAAATAAGAGTATCCTAAATTATCTAATAATTGTTTAACACTTACAGATCAATTGTTTACTAATATTCCATGATCATCACGCGTATTAAATACTTTAAAAAACCTAAAGAATTCGTGGTTTTCATAATTCTGAACCAATATTTTATCATTCTGATTTTACGACATATAATCATTCGGAACTCGTCCAAATTCACCGTAAATCGCAGATCTGGCAGTCTGTTTGACGAACTTTTAAAACGTTTTTTAAGAATTTTAAATGATTTTTTTTTCTCTATTATCGGATGCCTTATGTAAACCCCAAATTTCACATCCATAATTCAGAATCGAAGTGATCATGGAATCAAATAAAATTAATTTGTCTTTACTTCCATTAGCAGACAGAGTAACACCTAAATAAGTAAATTTAGTAACAATTTTTTAAGTCTATGATTATCATAAAATAATATCAATATTTTCAGGTCTATTACCTTTCTAACATATCATTACTACGGTTTTTATCAATATTAACACTGATTCCCCTATTGCAACAATAAGACTGTAAAATTATTTAGAAGGTTCTGTAACCCTTCTTTGGATAAGATATTAACACCGTATCATCCGAAAAAGAAGTAAAAGAGATATAATTCGTCCATAGTGAACGAGTCAATAGAGTCGTCATATAAATATTGATACATATCATTTATAAAGAATAAAAACAACAGAGGGGATACTGGTTCGCCTTGTTTAACGCCCTTAAAGCTCTCAAAATTATCACGTAGCTGTCCATTTACACGTACACAAGATTTAACACTTTCATATATTTTCTGTAACATATTAACAAACTTTGTGGAAGCTCCATAAGATAATTATTTAAACCAGATTCCGTTTCAGTAAACTACATCAAAGGCTTTTCTGAAATCGACAAATGCTAAATATAGCTTCTTTTTCATCAAGCGAAATAACTTTATCTATGATTGAAGTTAAAACAAAAATACAGTCAATGGTACTTTTATCTTTTCGAATTCCAAATTGAAAATCACTTAACATATTATTGCCCTCGGCCCATTTTCGGAGTCTTAAATCTAATATGGTTGAAAAGATTTTTGAAAAAATTCTATTTAATGTTATTCCTCTGTAATTATTGATATTATTAAGGTCACATTTTTTTGGGGGACAGGAACAATAACACCTTTAGTCCAACTATCTGGGTAAATACAATGAGTAAACATAAAATTAAATAGTTTGCATAATAACGGTGCAATCATATCTTTCCACTCAACAAACATCTAGCGGATTAAACAATCTATTACACCGCTTTTACCACTCTTTAACATATTTAGAGCTTTTAATACTTCATCAAGGCTAAACAAAATATCAAGTTGTTCCACATTGATATTAACATCACTATTTAATAAATTTTCAGCATCATCATTTATAAATTCGTTGTCATCAGAAAAAGCATTTTTGAAATGGTTGTAAAATTCGTCTTCCCTTTTGGCGTTTTTTTGATTTAAATTTTTTAATTTCTTTCAAAACTTATTAATTAGACATGTACATCGTTTCAGTCTAGCTTTGCGTCTGCATTGTGATAAAGTTAATGATTTTCAATTTTTCCTTCTCCCTTTCTTTCATGATCGGAATTGTTCAGAAGTTGTCATATGACGAGGCCGTCAAATAAGCACATAATGTATGGTATGCACATTTAGCCATTACGTTTACAAATGCTGATAATGGAGGTTTTCTCATTATGCAGTATGTCTATGTGAGTTTATTCTATTATTAACATAGACATAATTCTGTCGAAAATTACTGTCATAGAATCATTATCATGTCACATTTGTTTTTATGTTGAGATTTTTATTCCGTACAATAAAATCAGACTCTCATCAGCAAGATAATAAAAATAATGAATTGACACTTAAACTTTTGATCAGTCATGCATGTGTTTCACTATACGTTTATCATTAGATTACAAAGTGGCATAGAACTTCAGATCAAATGGATTGCAATTAGATTTATTTCAATTTCACAAGCACAGGTTACATATATTTGTGTTATATACTTTGATTTCACCTTTACTTCGTTTGTATTACAAGAATATATTTTATTAAAACCAATTCTTTAGTGTATGTTGTGGTTAATGATACCTAAAAAGCAAACACGGTTAAGCAACAGAAACGGAACTGCATCACGCGATTTCGATTACATACAGGATATAATGGTGGCTGATTTCAATCCATATTCTTGTTATCAACTGATCGTATTTACACTAGCGGTCTTTTGGTTCACTTGTTTTCGCATATCACGCAGCGTTTTTGTCCCTAACAAAAAGAGGGCAGCTTATCATGTAACGTGCTGTGATGTCGCTTACGAAAAGATGACAGAAAGACTGTTGTGATGTCGCTAACGAAAAGATGACAGAAAGACTGCTGTGATGTCGCTAACGAAAAGATGACAGAAAGACTGTTGTGATGTCGCTAACGAAAAGATGACAGAAAGACTGTTGTGATCTCGCTAACGAAAAGATGATAGAAAGACAAATTCACTTGTTTTCGCTTTGTCACGCGGCATGTTGACGCTTACGAAAACACGACAGCAAGCTAAATTCATTTTTTTTTCGTTTTATCACGTTTTATCGCTAACGAAGAGGCGGCACCAAGAGAAGGACTGAATACAAAAAGAATTTTCATCGGTCATATCAGAATTGCAAACTGAATTCGTTGAACCTTATTGGTCATTCTTAAATAAAATGTAAAGGACAGTTCGAACCATTCTAAAATAAAATGTAAAGGATAATTCTAACCATTCTAAAATGATTTTATATGGCTCTTAAATAAAATGTAATGGATAGTTTTTTGCCAGTATAGAGATAGATCTAAAAGACAATGTAGAAGAATGAGGATAATTCTTTAACTTTTTGGTTAATTGCAAAAGACTTACAAAATTTATAAAGTCAAACGTTAAACATGTTAAAGAGATACCTAAAATAGAAGTTGTCCTACTTTGAAAAGTCAGCAATATAAATATGCTTTAATTTAATTTCAATGTTAACAAAATGGGCATTTTCTTACCTACAAGAAATGAGTGTTATGGCATTGTTATGCAAACACTGCTAACATTTCTTTTTGTATTGAAAACTTAGAAATAACATAATTTTGCTTGCTACACAATTTTACATCGGCCGAGTATCTTTTTAAAGATACTACTTGTTTCCTTTACATGTATATATTTCTATTGTTTTTATCAATATTTGAAACACTTATGACAAGTTTTCCCGCTGTAGACCAATCCACTTTAAAGATCGCAGGGGACAAGTCAAGATTTGAAGATGAAGTGTTCGGCCGAGACAGTATTACTTTATGGTTTGTATTGTATCTAATTAAATATAGACCACATTGAATGAATGTAAGTTCAATACTGAATTTATTCAACGAGTTGAATGGAATTATATGACACGAGCCACTTGCGAGCATAATATTATTTTATTCACAACGAGTTCAATAAATTCAGTAAATAACCTACACGAATATATATAATATTCTATTTATCACATATCCAACATAAAGAGTGTTTAATTTAAGGACGTGTCTATATAGTGTAACGCTAACATTTAGCGCGTCTTTACACTGTAATTGTATAACGCAAATGACGTCACGTCAAATATAATCACGGCCGTGCAATACCGATTTCACTGAGCCACAAAAGTGGCACGGGTACAGTGTATGTGAAAAAAAAATTCTTCAACAAGAGCTGATAGTATATCAAATACAACTGAAAACAAAATTTAAAAAAAAACGAGTGTTACAAATATTTGTTTGATATTTTATCCGGTTGCCCAAAAATTAATGCTATGCAATTTTATATGTAGTCGCCTGATGTGTTTTTCATTAAATTATAAATGTGACGTGAAATTGGCCTGTCAATAGTAATATTATTTATATAAAGACCAACGAAAGACAAGTTTGAGTATATTAACATTTTAAATAATATCTGGCTTTTTTTAATGTGTTACACGTCAATCCAGTCATTAACCCATTCTAAATTGTCCTTTTAATAAATTATTATACTTACTACATACTTTTACAGTCACATAGATAATATCCAACTCTTAAAGCTACTATCCCACACATTGTAGTTTACGCGTTTTTGAAATAAAAGTCAGGCTCGTACATTTATATGGAACTAGATGATTTATACATGTCCTGTCCGGTGTAAAAAATTTAGTGAGTAAAGTATTCGCAATGTTTGTCCTGCTGTAAAAGTTGAAACGTTTTATTTTGGCTTAAATTATAAACACACCCGTTAACCGGGTGCAAGTAGATCCGTTGATTGCTGGAAGAACAATTGTGCACTCGGTAATATTTTTATTCTGCAATCGATTGCTGCACAATATATCATAGAAATGTATGTCTATAAAAAGATACAAAAAAAAAAAAGATAAACATATCTTGGTGATCCGGTTTAAACTGACATTTATATAGTAATATAGTTCTACCTGTATGAAGCTGTCCTTCTCGCTACATGTTAACTGGTGTGATAATGGGGGTCTATATATGTCTAGAACTGAACGTGATCAGCAGCCAAACTCCGATGTTCACCCGTGCAAAAGCCTGTTTTGTGTAAACTTCAAGTCAATTTTGAAGAGACAAACCTAAAAACAAAAAAAAAAATTCATACATTATGTGAATGACACGTGAATTTATAATCAGATTTTTATTGTCAGTTTATGGCGAATATCATTATCCTTATTATTAAAACTGCCCAGTAAAATGCTAATTCCAGAAGCTATAATCTCGCGTCAAAGTTGACATTTGGCTCAAAAACAAAGTAATGAAGTGAGTATTAATATATAGATAACTGTATGATACAACGGACTATTTATTCTGCCAATTTTTTGTATCACTGCGCAAGCATCTCTTATAAAGAAATAGTTCGGTCTCTTCTCTAAGCATTTGTGTCATTGGTTATCCAGTGACAACATCTGTGACAGCTAAAGAGACAGAGTGTGTGTTCTTTATACATTTAACATTTAAGTAGCTGATAATATTTTGTGTGTAAAATTCGTGTAAAATTCGTGATTAAAGTTCAAAGAACAATGGTCTTTATTCCTAAAAGTAGTACTTACATGGCTGATGTATTGATATTGGTAACTATTGCAATTTTTGCGGCCGTCGGACACACAATAGATGGGAATGAACTTTTAAGAGGAAAAGGTATATTTCTTTGTTGTTTTTGTTGTTGCTTTTGTTGTTTGTTTTTTGTTGTTGTTCTTTTTTTTTTTTTGGGGTGTTGTTGTTTATATTTTTGGGGCGCTGTTGTTGTTAGAGCATTCAGATTATTTTTTGCACTTATATATAAGATGTTTGATAATATATGTAGTGTATGTATACATCGCGTGTAGTGAGCTACTATATAGCGTCGTTACTAAGTATACACACATATAATAATGTCCTTTCAAATAATAGCAATTTCATCTCTTTATTTAGCCTTTATTATCACAAATATCTCTTTGTCACAAGCCTTTACTCATGTATGATCATAATTGAGTTAACATGAAGTAAACCTGCTAGAGTCAAACAGAATAGAACATGATTACAGAACATAACAGAATAGAATATATATGCTTTAATTGTTAAAGGCCCACTATGCCGCAGAAAATGCTTTTATTTTTATTTCGCAAAAGCATTTTTTCAGGTTTTGTTGTCCTGTTACATTTTCCAAAAAGTCAATCAATGGCCAATAACCTTAACCACTTAATGCTGCTTTTGCGTTTTGCCAGTCAGTTCAGTTACAATGATTTAGTATCTTGTATAGAAGTCAAAATACTAGTTTATTTTACATTTTGCTACTTTCATGACAAATAATTTCACATTTAGTGCTACTTTAAAGGAAAAAAAATTGTTTCATAAACATTTTTTACTATTTTGACATTACTATTTGAAAGACTTTCCTTAAATTTTATGTATTGGCTGAATTTAGAAGAAAGTAGTCCGGTAAGACATCAGTGAAAATACGGAAAAAAATCTTTCCGCAGTGAAAAATAATATTTACAGTGAAAATACGGAAAATATGTTTTACCGCAGTGAAAAATTATATTTACAGTGAAAATACCGAAAATATGTTTTACCGCATTGAAAAATAATATTAACAGTGAAAATACCGAAAATATGTTTTAATAATGCAAACTATTTGTCATAAACTAATGAAGACTCTTTATTATTTGCAAATCTTTCCCCAGTGAAAAATAATATTTACAGTGAAAATACCGAAAATATGTTTTACCGCAGTGAAAAATAATATTTACAGTGAAAATACCGAAAATATGTTTTACCGCAGTGAAAAATAATATTTACAGTGAAAAAACGGAAAATGAAGCATGTATAATTGGACATGTAGAGCCGTGCTTTCTATTCTAAACAATTAAAGAGATGTAATAAATTGTGAACTATCTAATACATGTAGCTAAAAATTTACTGTTTGGTTGATGATAGACAGGCCGGTGACCGATTTAAACGAATGATTTGGCTTAAACCTACTCAAACAACAGCCGCCAACTGTTCAATAGATATATTCAAGGATTTAAACTTAATATACCATATGTGATCAAAGCGGTCAAAAAGTCACTTTATTGTTCACGTTTTTTTATGATACTGTTAATAATTCTATGTGTGGGTGATTGAGGGTGTGCACGCGTGCGTTCGTTTGTGCATGTGTGCCTACGTGAGTGCGAGCGAATGTTTATGGTATTATGATATGGAATTTATCATACAATATACGTTTCATATTTTCTAGTTTGCTATGGAACAGCTAACGGATTTTCTCTGTCAGGCAGTCAGATGTTTCATTACCAAAGGATGCGTAAAAGGTATACTGGGTGTACGTTTCTTCATGGTAACCTAGAGATAACGCATCTAGAGAGCAGAAAAGGAATGACCTTTGACCTTAGTTTCCTGGAAACGATCGAAGTAGTGACCGGATATGTGTTGATCTTTAACAACGATGTTGACGTCATTCCGTTGACGAATTTAGTCCATGTCCGGGGCGAGACTCAGTTTTCATACAAGGGGAATAACTACGCTTTTAGCGTTATACTGTCGGATAACAGGGGTGGAATACAAATGCCTATGTTAAAAGGTAAGTGCTGTGTATAACACAATGGTTAGACGAGAACATATTAGACCATTAATTTAATACTCATCATATCTAACGTGATAACAACAATAATCTAACATGTATAACATACAAAACACCTACCTTCCACAGGGACCCAGCACAGTGTTGGGATAGTGTAAAAAGAGTAATTCTAGAATTAAATATATACTGTATATATAATATATAGACAAGGGGTTGAACTTGCCAAATCGGGCAGGTGCCACTAGTCCAGTATATTAAGTCAAAACTGCATAGTCATTTTTTACGTATATCATATAAAGCTATATATCAAATTGCAGCTAAATGACATCACTTGATGTTGACAGTAACATTATTGTACCCACTTAACAACAAACCGATATTTCGGTTAAAATATCGTATTTTTGTTATGTAGGACATGACCGATTTACCTGTCGCAACTCGATTTTCTACGTGTTATTATTTATTTCAATTGCATGGCAGGGTAATAAATTTATCTAAGTTATTATTCGATGTTTTTTGTTGTTGTTTCAGAGATAAGTGGAAATGTTCTGCTTTCCCATTGGTCAGTTTGTTTTACAAACTCAATAGCATGGGATGTTCTTATACAAGGAACTCTGACAGAATCGAGCGTAGAGGAACCAGCGGGATGTAAGTGAAATATCTTAACATAAAATACATATGAGCCGCGTCACGACAAAACCAACATAGTGGGTTTGCGACCAGCATGGATCCAGACCAGTCTGCGCATCCGCGCAGTCTGATCAGGATCCATGCTGTCCGCTATCGGTTTCTCTACTTGTTATAGAGTTTGTAAGCGAACAGCATGGATCCTGATCAGACTGTGCGGATGCGCAGGCTGGTCTGGATCCATGCCGGTCGCAAACCCATTATGTTGGTTTTGTCGTGACAAGGCTCATATCATTAAGTCTTGGTATGAAATAGTAAAGTCAGTCATAATGAGCTTTAGTCACAGAATATTATAATTTATATACATGTAATTGTTAATATTATACTATTTCCAATTGTCTGGAATACTTAATGTTCTTAATATACAGCCATGGACAAGGCGATAATCTAACATAAAATTACAGGTTTTTGCAATCGATGACGAAGCAAACCCTATTTTATAATATTTTACTTTATATAAAAGGTTCGATACGAAAGCCTTAAAGTGTCAAATAAAATGAAAACATAAAAATGCAGAGCGTTATAACGCGAAAAAAATGCGTTATTACGAGAATAAAGGCGTTATAACGCGAATCAAAAGGCGTAATAACGCGAAAAAAGGCGTTAAAACGTAAATCAAAAGGCGTAATAACGCAAATAAAGGCGTTATAACGCGAATCAAAAGGCGTAGTAACGCCTTTATTCGCGTTATAACGCGAATCAAAAGGCGTGCTAACGCGAATAAAGGCGTTATATCGCGAATCAAAAAGCGTAATAACGCCTTTATTCGCGTTATAACGGGAATCAAAAGGCGTATTAACGCGATTAAAGGCGTTATAACGCGAATCAAAAGGCGTAATAACGCTTTTATTCGCGTTATAACGCGAAGCAAAAGGCGATAAAACGTGAATCAAAAGGCGTAATAACGCGAATAAAGGCGTATAACGTGAATCAAAAGGCGTAATAACACGAATAAAGGCGTATAACGCAAATCAAAAGGCGTAGTAACGCGAATAAAGGCATAGTAACGCGAACCAAATGGCGTAATAACGCAAATTAAAACGCATTATAATGCCAATTTAATATCATATTTATACTAATAACGCGAATAAAGGCGTAGTAACGCGAACCAAAAGGCGTATTTTAACGCAAATTAAAACGCATTATAATGCCAATTTAATATCATATTTATACTAATCAGATTGCCTAGTAACGCGAGAAAGGAAGACCAATATTGATCTGAATTTATTGCTCAAGATATAAACTCGTATAAGATAATACAATATACATTTACAATAACTATCATTCCATTTGCACAGTAACAATGCAAACTATTTGTCATAAACTAATGAAGACTCATTATTATTTGCCAATATAAGATGACTTGGTGACTGATAGGTCCATTGGACAGGACTTAAATAAAGTTACTCTGAAATCATCTATCACATCATTGATTTTAAACACGTCACTATAGTAAATGAATTTCTTTTCTTATCTTTTCTTTTCTTTTCTTATATCTCATATCTTATCTACGGATATGTCCTGTATAATTACTTAATAACATGTAGTATCTTCTAATTACATGTATGTGAATGACGTTCCAAATTACGCCATAGGTAATAGGCTATAGGTAACAAGATTTTGAAAAAACGGTATAAGTAAATCACATTAGGGTGAAAGTATATCTTAATTATTGATAGGTATGCTTCGAAGGGTGAAAGTGTTTCTGTTAAGTCACACTTATAGGAGACATTGTCTTCTTTGTTCTTGTAGAAAAGTATCTAAAGTTGGGTGATAGTAACCTCTAATCCGACGAAAGCATTTCCTAATAAAAAAATTTAAAAAATCAAACTGTGGTCTTAGGACGTATCCATACAGAATTGAAAATAAAACGTACATCTTGATCAATTCATTTAGATCAACATTGTTCTTCTTTCTTACATGACTAGGCCATAGTTTGGAATTTATATGTGTTAAAATTAGCGTTATAACGCCTTTTGTTTTGCGTTATTACGCCTTTTGGTTCGCGTTATTACGCCTTTTGATTCGCGTTATAACGCCTTTATTCGCGTTATTACGCCTTTTGTTTCGCGTTATAACGCAAACAAAGGCGTTAAAACACGAATTGAAAGGCGTTATAACACAAATTGAAAGGCGTTATAACGCGAATAAAGGCGTTATAACGCGAATCAAAAGGCGTAGGAACGCCTTTAATCGCGTTATAACGCGAATCAAAATGCTAACAACGCGAATCAAAGGCGTTATAACGCGAATAAAGGCGTTAAAACGCGAATTGAAAGGCGTAATAACGCCTTTATTCGCATAGTAACGCAAAACAATAGGCGTAATTACGCGAATCAAAAGGCGTACTAACGGGAATAAAGGCGTTATAACGCGAATCAAAAGGCGTAATAACGCGAACCAAAAGGCGTAATAACGCAAAACAAAAGGCGTTATAACGCTAATTTAATACCATATAAATTCCAAACAGTGGCCTAGAAATGTATGGAAGGAAGAACAATGTTGATTTAAATGAATTGATCTAGATGTACGTTTTATCATATGCCCGAAAGAATTTCGGGCATATGATGTTATACCCCCTGGCGTCCGTCCGTCCATCCCTCCGTCTGTCCGTCCGTTAGCAATTTGGTTTCCAGAGCATAACTTAAGTTCCATTTGGCCCACAATATTCAAACTTCATAGGAGGATTGTTATTTGAAGAAGGTGATACTTTATGACCTATAAGTCACCAAGTCATCTTATATTGGCAAATATTAAAGAGTCTTCATTAGTTTATGACAAATAGTTTGCATTATTACTGTGCAAATGGAATGATAGTTATTGTAAATGTATATAGTATTCTATAGGCGTTTAAATCTTGCGCAATAAATTCAGATCAATATTGGTCTTCCTTTCTCGCGTTACTAGGCAATTTGATTAGTATAAATATGATATTAAATTGGCATTATAATGCGTTTTAATTTGCGTTATTACGCCTTTTTGTTCGCGTTACTACGCCTTTATTCGCGTTATTACGCCTTTATTCGCGTTATTACGCCTTTTGTTTCGCGTTATTACGCCTTTTTTCGCGTTATTACGCCTTTTGATTCTCGTTATAACGCCTTTATTCGCGTTATTACGCCTTTTGATTCGCGTTATAACGCCTTTATTCGCGTTGCTACGCCTTTATTCGGGTTATTACGCCTTTTGATTCGCGTTATAACGCCTTTATTCGCGTTATTACGCCTTTTGATTCGCGTTATAACGCCTTTATTCGCGTTATTACGCCTTTTGATTCGCGTTATAACACCTTTATTCGCGTAATTACGCCTTTTGATTTGCGTTATCACGCCTTTTTCGCGTTATTACGTCTTTTGATTCGCGTAATAATGGCTTTATTCGCGTTATAACGCCTTTGTATTTTTATTTTTTTAATTTATTTGACACTATTAGGCTTTCGTAGTTCAAACTCTATTAACTTTATGTCACTTAATAACCAGTCATGACGGAAATTTTATGCCAAATAAATAATATATGTTATTTTGGTTTTGGAGTGATACATGTGGATATATTACCTGTTAAGATTTTATTTTTTGATATTTTATATTGGCAGGTAATATATCTACATATATCACTCCAAAACCAAAATAATAATTTTATTACCCTTCCCCTGCCGAGTTTAGACGATTTTTTTAAAGAATCATTGCTGTTTCAAATGAAACGTCGAAATAAGATTCCCTTTAGGGTACCTCTTCGTCACAACATGACGTCACATAAATACATGACGTATTGTTCCCGTACCTAACGAATGTAAACAAGAGAAAATGAGTAGTCTATTGAATGCACTTTTTTGTAATTAATATCAAGCTTTCACAAGGTCATATTTGTTTTCGATACTGATGGTAATATGTATTATTACTCTACTTTGGTAAATATTTATCATTTGACAGTTAAAAAGTGCTTTTAAATCGGAATTTACACCGCGTAAAATCGAACCGTACGCGCATCACCTCAGCGCATGTTGTTTACAACGTTGGGTACCCAACGGGGAAATTAAGTGTGTATATTACCCGTCTGGCTCGGTTATATCAATTTCTTTCGGGTGATCAATATCCAATCAAAAAGGCGGAAACAATCTAGAATGGTAATAACAGCTCATGTTATATATACAAAGAACCGTTTACATAGGGTCATATAACCTGTCAAAAATCTTTATAACTAAATTGAATAATGTACATGTATAGTAAGGGTAAAATGTTAAACAATGCATATGCATGTAAGTATATTTTAGTGGGAGCAATGCTCGAAGGTCACAATATCACATTGAATGACAACGCCTTGTATGTTTTAAGGTTTGCAGTGTGACGATTCATGATCTACTGTAGACGGGATTCAACGATGTTGGGGACCCGGGCCTGATCTTTGTCAGAAAGGTGAATTTTTTTAAATGATTTTTTTTCTGTTTGAGCTGTGAGAATGTGCAGAGGATTGTTGCCTGTTATGTCGCTATGTAGGTTCGCGTGCTATGTACTTTGTTTAGAAAGTTTCACGTGCTGTTTACAATTTGTATAAAAGTTTCGTTTGCTGTTTATAATATAGACGAATGTTTTGTGTGCTGTGTATAATTTGTATTACAGTTTTAAGTGTTAGGTAGAATTTGTATGAAAGTTGTGTGTGCTGTTTATAATATAGATGAATATTTGTGTGCTTTGTACAATTTGTATGAGGGGTACAATATACTTTATGAAGGTTTTATGTGCTGTGTACAATTTGTATGAAAGTTTTGTATGTTGTGTACAAGACGCATGATATTTTTTCCGTGCTGTGTACTATTAGTATCTGTGAACAATGTGTATATAAGGCGGCGTTTCTGTGTAATTTTGTGGCACTTACACAGTAGAGATCACATGGCGACTTTTCAGCTTTTCTAGCGGAATAAGACCTTAGATGCCCGGCCCTTTGTGCATTTTTGAGGCACTTTCGTAAACTAGTTGGATAGCTTCTACACATGAAAGAATCCGAAGTCCCTTGGTGATTCGAACCCACAACGGTCAGGACTAGTGATCTTAAGTCAACTACCTATGATGTGTCGTTTTTCAATGCTTAGTAAAATGTATAGAGAAATTTTGCGTACTATGTAAAATTTGTAAAGGGTTTTTGCCTAGCATTATTTATATTTACATCATCATTTGCTTAGGCATGAAAAAAGAACTGACTTGGTTTTGAATTTTTTTGAAGTAAAACGTATGGAATGCGATTGGCATTGTGAAAATGGCACATGCTTCGAGGAAGGCTTGATGGGATGTTGTCATCCGGAATGCCTCGGATGTAACGATGGCTGGATTGATACAGCTTGTGAGGTAAATATGTGTTAGAACAAATGTAAGAAAATCCAGTCATATGAAGAGTGGTCTTTAGTTGGGGTGGTTATTGGCACGGGTTTGACGGTTTATACTGATTGCTAGAAGATTATTCTGAACAAAAAAAATAATTAATACATGTCTGCGCAATAAGGGAAATAAAATGTTAATTGCCAAAAAAAAAAGAAAATCCAAAATAAACCTTTTGTTTTTTTTTTTTTTGTTTTTTTTTGTTTGTTTTGTTTTTGTTGTTTTTTTGTTTTTTTTGTTTTTTTGGGTTTTTTTTTTTTTGTCGATTAGATCTTTTTTGTTAAAATAAAATATTATTCTACCCAAAACACGTGTTGGTGTTAGTTATAAGAAAATGTTCCGTTATAACATATATTGAAGTTGAACAGTTTAGTTTAAGGAGTATTATATTTACAAAATAATATACATATAAATTACACATATTATGGAGAACATAAATGTTGAGTATACACAAAAATCTCATGTTAATTAGGATATCAATTTTGAGTTAGTTAATTGTAGTTTAATTCAGGACGGTATATCGTTCAAATGCTTTGTAATTAATGTTCCTGCGCATTTGAACTCAAACAGTACCTTATTCTACAACAACTCATTCAAAAATTATATCTATTTTTATTTAGATCACATGTTCAATTCAAGTGGTCTTTTTTCTTTTGAAATTCATTTTCTGTTAACACTATTTTCATTTCAGTCAGAAACTAATTGCCCATTATCAGTGTTTCAGCCAATATATCATACGTGTGTATTTTTGTTTTTACTTTCAGTATTGCAGACACTACAGTTACCAAGGTCATTGTATTCCGAATTGTCCTTCTGAGACATTTTCACACATGGACAAATGTATCCGCTTTGACGAGTATTATGCTGCCAATGAAAACAACTTTACCTAACTTTGTGTTGTAATAATATTACCTAACTTTGTGTTTTAACAATTTTACCTTGTTGTGTGTTTTAACAATTTTACCTAACTTTGAGTTTTGACATAAAATAATTTTGGTTTTTGACAATATTTTTAACAATATTCCCTTTAACTTTGTTTTTTATAAATTTTTAACCTAATCTAAGTTTGTTTTTAAAAAATTTTTACCAAATTGGGTGTTTAACATTTTTTACCAAAAGGGAAAGCAACGTGATAAGTGAAAAAAGGAAATTTGTCTGCGTCGGGGACAAAACCCCAACATAAGGGGTTTTGCGACCAGCTTTGGATCCAGACCGCCGGGCGCACCCCGCGCTCTACAGGACCCTTTGTTGTTGTTTAAAATCCCTATTACAAAAAGAAAAAACTATTACGAACGGGCAGGGACCCTTTGATAAAATGAGGGGGAATCCCGAAAGTGGTCGGTTTAAAGGGGGGGGGGGAACATCTTCCCAAAAATTTGACATGTAATGTGTTCTTTTTGAAAACTACTTTTGAAAATGCGAACATGTATGTCTAGCATTTTTGGTTGTATTCTATGGAGGGCGTTCGTTGCCAAAATTCCAGACATGTAAAGTATTCCTTTTTAAAATGACTTTTGAAAATGCGAACTTGTATGCCTACCATTTTTATTGTATGCCTCTTAATTCAATCTTTTAATTGAAGGTTACCGCCTTTATATAACAAGTTTACATATATATCGTAACAACTGACCTAACATCTAAAACGACAACAAATTTACAAGTTCGTATCTTCCATTGCATGCAATACATACGCATGTTTGCACACTTATAGATCTGTAATACACAAATGAAATGTAAAACTCGAATACGGAAAATAGAGTTTAAGAAAACGTGTTACCAGTTTTAGAACTACAAGAGTACGTTAACACAGTAACATGTTTAAAAATGACAAAAGTAGATTCACAAAGTTAAACGATTTAAGTCAAGCATAACGCCCCGCCCTCTCGGACTATTTACGACTTTTATTTGCGGACAGGTATAAAACGGCGCCTCTCCCATATTTTTAAATAAAACTGAAGGACAACATACGGCACTTTTCATAACATATATATCTAACATATGTTACAAAAGTTTTGTCACTAGCAACATCACTTGAAAATTGCTTGATTTTACCATTTATGATGAAGATAACCTGTGCATTACCTTATTATTTTGACATCGTGTTCTTATCAGTTACAAAAATTATTTATCATCTTAGTGATTAGCCTGTCCGTGCTATGGCCTAGTGCCCTGTCCTGTTGTTTTGTTTGGGGTCCCGCCTGGGCTTTTTTTGTCACTTGTTCTTGTTGCTGGGTCATGTAGGGTTTGCGTTCATTTAGCGCCGCCTTTTCCTTGTTGATCTTGTTTATCATATATTCCTGAGAAACATCGGCAATTTGGAAATTTTTAGGGAAAACAATGACCAACTTCAAGGGAGTAATTTTATTGATAATGTAAAAACTATCCAATATTCCTTATTGGTATCATTGAAAAATGTTTGGCACAAATTTCAAACTTTCAACAAAAACTAGCAAGTATTTGCAAAAATAGGATTGTAAAGCGGCCACCGAGATTTCCCTTTCCGAAATCAAGAAATACTTATCCGTAGCACATATGTACAATCTTTAATAAGGTATTTTCAGTATGAATAAAAACTTTTTGCACTTTGTTCATTATCCTCATGTACAGACTCAATCAAACCGAGTCCGCAATTCTTATGTAATTTTGTAGTGATTAATGCTTCCGAGGGATCATTTTGTTTTCAGATTTTAATACTTCACAACAGCAGGTGCCAAGTGCCGTGTGGCAGTTGTAAAAAGTTGCCCCGTACTTCACTTCAGTGTTTTTCTGGTCCTTCGGGATCATTGATGCCAGCGCTATTAAGTGTTGAGAATTGAGTACCGTTCAAGCCGGTGCTAGGGGGCGTGAGGGATGTTGCACTTGTTCATTATCCCTCATGTGCAGACTCAATCAAACCGAATCTGCAATTCTTATGTAATTTTGTTGTGATTAATGCTTCCGAGGGACACTTTGTTTCCAGATTTTTAATATACTTGTTCAAAGCTTATGATCTTAAATTTCATTCAATATTCAATTTCCTTTTTGAATAAAGTATCTAAAGGAAGCAACGTTATTTTTTTTCCGAATATGAGTGTGGATTTAAGAGAGAAAAAAATAAACAACGATAAGTTAGAAACAATTTTTTTTATACTTCTACATAATTAATTTTCATTTTTAAGGCATCACTAGAAAGTTCATAAAGGATTTTTTACTTGAGCCTAAAATTATCAACGCCGCCTTTCCTTGATGATCTTGTTTATTATCAAAATTGACCAAGAAATAAAAAAAGTAAGTAGGGGGCGCCATGTTTTTCTTACTGAATTTCAGAGTGTGTTTTTTTTTTACTTGGGGATCATATGCCGTTTTTCATGGTATGGCACTTACGTGTCACATTGAAGGTTCCATGATAAACACATCTGCGGATGTTTCAAAATTGTACCAGTTCATGTTGAATTTTGCTTAAGCCGGTGCTAGGGGGCGCGGACGATAACTTGCTCTTTCCATTACCGTCCATGAGCAGGCTCAATCAAACCAGGCCTGCAACATTCTTAATTTTGTCGATTTGAGCGTTCTTTATGGATTCTTATTTTCTCTATTTTACAGAAAGTAACATGATAAACTTTTTAACGAAAGTTAATTCAGTTTGATTTAATTCTTTTTTATTTTTAGGCATTATATAATTATATATCATAAATCGTATGAAGCACACTTTTATTTCAATCCAAAATTATCAACATATATTACGAACTTAAAAAAAAGTTTGGAGGGAACGCCGTGTTTTTCTTACCAAATCGAGAGTGTTATTTTCAGAGTAAAAAATAAACTAAAAATTCCATACATCTATCTAATTCATTTTTATTTCCGAGGCACTCATAGAAAGCTTATGGAGTAATCTTTCATTTGATACCAATAATATTGGACTTTTTATAGTAATAAAAAAAAGTTAGAATGGACGCCGTGTTTTCCTTCACTTTATTGAGAAATAGGAGAGAGGCGACGGGTATTATACCTGTCCGTACATTTCCGTGATAGAAGATCGCAAATACTCAGAGAGAGGCGGGGCGTCATGCATGACTTAGAATCGTCTAACTTTGTGAATCTACTTTTGTCATTTTAAACATGTAACTGTGTAAACGTACTGTTGTAGTTCTACGACTGGAACACGTTTTATTAAATTATATTTTCTGCATTCGAGTTTTACATTTCATTTGTGTTTTTCAGGTACATATATATATGTACATGCAAGTGTGTAAACATATGCTTATGGATTATATGCAATGGTAGATACGAACTTGTAAATGTGTTGTTGTTCTCCATGTAAGGTCAGTTGTTAAGATTTACATGTAAACTTGTTATTTAAAAGCGGGTGCCTTCAATTAAAAGATTGGATTAAGAGGCATATCATTTGCTATGCACGAATGCAATAAAAATGCTAGACATACATGTTCGCATTTTCAAAAGTAGTTTTCAAAAGGAACACATTACATGTCTGGAATTTTGGCAACAATCGCCCTCCATAGTCTGGATCCATGCTGGTCGCAAACCAATTATGTTGGTTTTGTCGTGACGCGGCTCATATTAAGTAAATTTTTAATTATAAACTTTATGGTATTAGAGAATGTATTTATATGTGCTACAAATATATTGTATCAAACATTTGAATGGTTGTTTTTTCGTACTCCTTACACGCCTATGAAAAACACTTCTTCAGATATGGAATGGAAAGTTTCCTATTTTAATTGCATAAGGTGGTATCATACACAAATAAAAAAAATTATTAAAATATAAAAATAATCACCGATGACTGTTTAAAATAACAAACATTTATTGTATGTATGTAACACTTTCTTATGTAAAGTAAGCTTTAACTTCATCATCGTCGGATACACACGGTTGATTTAACATATAACATAACACGATAAATGTTAATGGTTCGACCGTGGGTATCCAATGAAGATGAGGTGTTTTGACTTTTTTAATGAGTCCGTTTTGTTTCCCTCTACAGAATAAAAACAACAACAATATATGTTGTCCTCGATGCGTGTGTTGTGTTCAATATCTATATCAATATCTTACATGTACAAGAGCTATTATTATCTAAATTCTTTAATGAATCTGAATATATTGACATTTAAAAAAAAAATATTTTGTATTTGTCCTTGGTCATGTAGATAAAGTTAACTTGTAAGAAATCGTTGGGTATAAAATGTCATGTACACATTTTCATATTAAATGTTAACTAGTAGACAAAATCACAAAACTGTTTAGCATTAATAATTAACGTGCTTGTGTAAGACAAACACTATATATCCTTTAATCTAATTTACATTTTATTGAGACTATAAACTATTAAAGCCAAGCTTTTCACGTATTTGGACAAATATTCATAAATTTTTTAAGATTGTTTAATAAAAAAGAAATACGTTAGAGAAGCGTATTTTTTGTCAAAAAGATATAATATGAAGAAATGCTATGTAGAAATGAAATTGATTAACACATTACTCAAATTATGCTAACATAATTATTTGACAAGATATGATGTGAAATGATGTACCTAATTATAACAAAATCCATATGGCTGTTAATCTTCAAACAACTTGATATAACAAAACAGCTTCAGAGTTCCATACAAAAATAGCTTGATATATCAAAACAGCTTCGGCATCCCATACTGAAACAATTTGATATATCAAAACAACTACAGCGTTCTATACTAAACAACTTGTTACATAAAAACAATTACAGCGTTCCATACTAAAACAGCTTAATGTTTCAAAACAACTACAGCGTTCCATACTTAAACAGCTTGATATATAACAACAGCTACATCGTTCCATACTAAAACAACTTAATTGATATATCAAAAACAGCTACAGCGTTCAATACTAAAACAACTTAATTGATATATCAAAACTACTACAGCGTTCCATACTAAAACAACTTGATATATCAAAACAGCTACAGCGTTCCATACTAGAACAGCTTGATATATCAAAACTAC